TGTTTTGGCAATGGGCCTCTAAAAGCCTCACAATTCTTACAAGTTGATTCTGCCCGGCAAACACTACCTAGATTAATTTTGTACATCCAGCCCACCGTCACTGGCCAGTTTAATTCTCCCCAATTCTCACCTGGACAATCTCCAGTTGTCTGCCCACCAACACACACCAAGGAGATCTCTTCCTCTAATGTGAATCTGATTGTACAACAATCTTGCTTTAAATCCCTCTACCACCTACAAAACAAAATCCTAATTCCTACCATCAGAAAAGCCTCTGATCTGACTTCTACCTATTTTCCCAGTCACGTTCCCAGCTATGTATTGCTCAAAAACTGTATATCCTTTCTCATGGCTCCATGCACTCCTCTGCTGGGAGAGCCCTGCCACTCCTGTTCCACCCACCAATCAGGATGCTCAGGCAAACTTTTCATCCTGCAAGACCCACATCAGAGAAATCTTCCCCACCCTTCAAGCAGAGGCTCTCAATTTTCTACTTAACACACTGTATTGTATCTATTTGCTAACGAGTCTACAGACTTCCTAAAGGCAGGGTGTTTTTGTTTGTTTTCATCTTTCTAACCTTTAGCATCTGGCTCAGGATCATTTATGCAATAGAAAAATGAATGAGTAAGAGAAGGAGGGAGGGGATGAATGAGTTTACCCACTTCTGGAATTTTCAGGAGCCAGTTCTTAAAGTGTAATTTCTCTTTCCATGCACAGAAAAGAGCCTCATCAAAGTCTACCTAGTTCCAATTTATAGTGTAAATAAGTAATAAATAACTCCTGCTCACTGTAGTACCCACTTCTTCAAAGCTACACGCCTAGCTTAGGACTGTTCTGTTTCAGGATGGCTGAATTTGTGCTGAGAATATTAACAGGTACATGAGGGGTCATAGCTTTGGGGATATTGGGGGGTCCTTCTCTTCTGACATCCACTTAGCTCTGTACAGTCCCTGCAGAGTAATTATTTGAAAAACTGCATGTATCATGTTACTGGAAAAGTGATCTCTGGTTAAGGGTGTTTTGGTGATAACAAGCTTTGGGCTTATTTTTATGATTCTGGCTCATTGGTTTTAATATATGGTACATGTGTGTACAGCCTGACCAGCTTCTCCATTTAATTATCTTCCTGGGGAGAAGGCACTGAACCTATGATTTTCAGATGTCTTGAGATCATCTGGTCTATTTCTCATCACACAATCTGTTGCCTTGTGGTGGGATAATCTCTAGTAGCATGAAGCAAGCAGGCCTTCCCTTTCTTCTAAGCTCTCTATACATTCCAGGTGGGTATTGAGTAGTTAAAATACAAGCCACCAAAATCTCCCTCCTATTACTCACTGTATTGATTCATCCCAGGGAGCTGAGAATCAAGAAAATGTTTTTTGGCTGAATTAGAAAGCAAAGAACACTATGGAGCAAAAACAATGTCAGGGTGCCCAAACTGTGGCCGCGTGTCAGGGCCAGCCCAGAAGTCTCCCACAATCACAGAGGCTGGAATACTCATCTTTGTTAGGCATTAAGTAGGCGTCTTCCCTGAGGGAGGTTAGAATTCTCAGCCACATCTTCTCAGGTCTCTGGACCACAGTGGAGGAAGGAACTCATCAATTACAGGCCACTCTGATCCCAGCACATTTTCCAAAGCACTTCTTGTTTTTCAAGCCTCGTATTCCCAGAACCAGCAAAATTCCCTTCTCATTGGGCGGTAGGAAAAATCAGAGAGCTGCAAGTGGAAATCTTTAGCCACTGAGGTTGAGTAAAGACTGGTGGAGTTCAGCTTTCCTAGAGGCAGCTGTGTGGAGGGCTTCCTGGCTCCTGCTTCAGTCCAAGGCCACAGCTGAACCCTCTCCCAGATCCTCAGCATTCAGACGCCACCCCAGGCAAGCAGAGTCCCTCTTAGAGTTTACTGATATTCCCATTCTTGTTTTCTCTTCTCTATCCTCAAACGTTTCCATCTCTTGATCACAATCCATCCACAATCCTGATTGCCCTTTTACTCTCCTCAGGGAGAGGGGGCAGAGTATGAAGCCAAAAGTAATGAAGCTATGCTAAGATGTTACATTTGCCTGGTGTTTTACCATTTCCCTTCTCCATGAAGCAGACGACAAAAATTAGGCAAAGGTGGTTGGTTTCTTTGTGAGAGTAAGTGCAGAGGGGCCAAGGTGATAGTCAGAAACATCATCCTGAGGCTATAGCAGGCTTTGGCTGGATCCTTGTGGACTAGGGTGTGAGTGAGGAGGGTTAATCCATGCTTTGCCTCCCCCAGCTTCTGATGGCTGCTGGTGTTCCTTGGCTTGTGGCCACAGGGCCACATCTTCAAATTTCTCTCTGCTCCATCTTCACATTGCCTTCCCCTTTAAGTATGTACGTGTGTATGTGTCAAATCACCTCTGCCTCCTCGCAGAAGAACACATATGATTGCATTTAGGGCTCTCTGGGTAATCCTGGATAAACTCCCCATCTCAACATCCTTTAACTTAATCCCATCTGCAAAGCCTTGATTTTCAAATGAGCTAATGCTTACAGATTCCAGAGATTAGATCCTGCCATCTTTGGGGCCATTAGTTTAGCCTTTTACAATGTCTTTTGCCCATTTTCTGTCTGTATTGTTGGTTTCCTCCACTGTTGAATTTTGAGAGTTTTATTTCAAAGTCTAGGTACAAATCCTTTGCAGATATGTGGTTCACAAATATTTTTTCCCATTTGCTAGCTTGTCTTGTCACTCTCTTCCAGGGTCTTTTGCAGAACAATTCCCCAATAGACAGTATACTCTTAAAAAAAAAGAGGCCAAGTTGTTGATCTTGCTGTTTCCCTGGTATGTCATCCTGTGGCTGGCATACAGTAGTTTCATCAAGAATATTAGTTAAGGGAGCACCTGGATGGCTCAGTCAATAGAGCGTCTGACTCCTAATCTTGGGGTTATGAATTCGAGCCCCTGAGTTGGGTCCAGAAATTACTTTGAAAGATATATTAGTTAAATGTTGTCATTAGGCTAGGGTTTGTGATATGTCCAATTGAAAAAAAGAAGTTTCCTGAAAACTAAAGCTGTGTGAGAAGAAACAGGCTGCATGGCATATCCGAGGTCCTCTCCCTGGAAAGGGATGACACAGATGCATTTCCACATCTTGGGAAGCCTGACAAGCTGTTCAGGATGCCTGAACAGCACACTAGGGACATGTCGAGTTGGCTGGTTGGATATACGGATGTAAGAAGATAAAAATGTTGAAATGTATTTTTCTTCCTCTTTCCAAAAAGTTCCCACCACTCTTTTAGCCAATCATTAGATCCATATGGCCTCAAAGAGAATGCAAATGTAACAGCAGCAGAAAAAAGGAAAAAATGTTAAAAGATTCTTTTTTTTTTTTCCTTTTGCTTCTTACTCGGCTTTTGAAAGTCAGAAGGGTAGGCCCTGAATGGAGAGACTGGAGTTTATGCCATAAAAAGGTGACGATGCAGCTATTACTTGGGGCATAACCAGCCTAGAGCCAAATAGAATTTGGGGTTCTTCTACCTAAACCAAAGATTCCAGGCCATTTATACACTGGAAGAAATAACCAGTCCAAGTTGGAAGCTGTTTCCATGACAACTGACTGGTATGTAGGATTTTGAGATTAACAATTCCATTTCACAGGCAATAACATTAAACTTGTGAAGTTCAGATGTTTCTCTCGATAATCTCTGGAGATATTTTTCGGTTGCAAGATGGGGAACAGGATGGCTATAAGTCTGTACCCAAGGGCTTTCATTCTCGTGAATATTTTCTGCCTCATGTTACACCTGTGTCAATACCCTCATCTCCCTTGAGTTTTTTTCCACAAGCAGTGGTTAATGAAGCTATAAGTCTGTAGCTTTAGGCAGGATTTTATTAGCCAGTAAGAATAGAAAATAGAGAATTATAAAAATATAGGATTTAATTAAAAATGTAGAAAATTATAGAATTTTTGTTTTAAAAGATGAGCAGGGTAGAGGTGTCTGGGTGGCTCAGCAAGTTGAGTGCCTGACTCTTGATTTCGGCTCAGGTCAGGATCCCAGGGGCATAAGATGAAGCCCCAAATTGGGCTCTGTGCCGAGCGTGGAGCCTGCTTAAGACTGTCTCTCTCTCTCAGTCTTTCTTTTTGTCCTGATGCCTGGGTGTTCAATCAGTGAAGCATCTGACATCAGCTCTGGTTATGATCTCATGATCTGAGTTCAAGCCCCACATTGGGCTGTGTGCTGATAGCTCAGAGCCTGGAGTCTACTTCAGATTCTGTATCTCCCTGCCTCTCTCTCTCAAAAATAAACAATTTTTTTAAATTAATAAAAAAAAAAGACTCTTTTCCTCTGCTTCCTCCCCTGCTCGCTCGCTCTCTCTCTCTCCCTCTCTCTCTCTCTCTCTCAGATTAAAAAAAAAATTAAAAGGTGATGAAGTTAGGGTGCCTGGGTGGTTCAGCCAGTTCAACTTTGGCTCAGGTCATGATCTCGCAGTTTGTGGGTTTAAGCCCTGCGTTGGGCTTTGAGCTGGGATCTTGCTTCAGATTCTGTGTCTCACTCTCTCTCTGCCCCTGCCCAACTCACACTCTGTCTCTGTCTCTCTCAAAAATAAACATTAAAAAAAAAAAGATGATGAAGTTTATATTATGTCTCTACAAAAAAAGTTAACATGCAGATAGGAAGGTGCAATGAGACCATCTATGCTTAGCAGAGGGGGACCAAATGGGAAGGCCCTGGAAGTGGAGGTGGGGGGGGGGGGGGGGGGAAGAGAGTTTGAGCACATTTGTTAAAGAGGAAGTCTAAGTTCAACATGGGTTCAAATTCTGACTGTACCATTTATTAGCTCTGTGACTTTAGGCCAATGACTTAACATCTCTGTGCCATAGTGTCCTCATTTGAAAAATGAGTTTATGATCATAATGACCTACAAAATAGTCTTTTTTGTATAATGTGTGTGTGCGTGTGTGTGTGTGTGTGTTTCTTAGGGCATTTCCTCATCCCTTCCCTCCTCCTCCTGCCCCACAGAGTCTAACCTCTTGCGCAGGAGGTCCTTCTATGACTTCATCTGTGTGCTTCTTGTAGTAACTACTATCGTCCATCCTATGCAGCGTGCATTCAATACACTCCTGGTAGGTGCTCTGTGAATGAAATAAATGAACAAATGTTGAACTGAATGTGGTAATTACGAGTTAGCAAAATTTCTAGATAACTATTTTTCTTCATAGCCAAAAATAATTGTTACTCTAGGCTAATGCATTTCTAGTTAGAGTGTTTCGCGACCAAATAAGTCTGTAATAAAAATTTATGTAATAATCATTACACATTTTGAGAACAGTGTAATTGGGGAAGAATTTCAGCCTTAAGTACATGTATATTTCTTTTTAACCGGAATTGTCCCCGTGAAAGGCTGACAATGGCTATAAAAATCAGTTTGTTCTTTCCTGAACTTCTTCCTTTTATTTGTCTTCAAGGCATCCCGGTTTGACAGCAAGATGCGCTCGCCGAGACTGGAAAAGGCCGGGAAGGAGCAAGAACGGCAAGAACGGCTTGTTATGTCCTTCGCGCCAACCCGTAGTTTGCGGCCGCTCAGGGGCGGTGCGCGCGGGTTTGAAAGCGGGGAGTGTCGCGTCACAACGACTGTTACCAAGTTCGTCTGTTGGCAGGTGGCGGGGCGCTGAGGCAGCCGCTGAGGGTCTTGTTGGCGGCCACGCGGGATCAGTTTTCGAGATAGCCTTGGCCTGGACCTCTCCACCCCGGCGCGGCTGCGGTAAGGGGAGCTTTTTGCGGACCCTTGGCCACGCGTGGGACCGGGTTGGAGCTGAACGCCCCCGACCCGACGCCTTTGCTTTGCTCCGTGACAGTTCAGGGGCCTAGAGGGCTGCCTATTTCACGTTTTTACTCGAATGTTTAATCAGGCATTCAAAACTGAGTTCCTGGTTTCAGTAATGGTGCCTCACAAGTTTAATGTTATTGCCTGTGAAATGGAATTGTTAATCTCAAAATCCTACATACCAGTCAGTTGTCATGGAAACAGCTTCCAACTTGGACTGGTTATTTCTTCCAGTGTATAAATGGCCTGGAATCTTTGGTTTAGGTAGAAGAACCCCAAAATCTATTTGGCTCTAGGCTGGTTATGCCCCAAGTAATAGCTGCATCGTCACCTTTTTATGGCATAAACTCCAGTCTCTCCATTCAGGGCCTACCCTTCTGACTTTCAAAAGCCGAGTAAGAAGCAAAAGGAAAAAAAAAAAAGAATCTTTTAACATTTTTTCCTTTTTTCTGCTGCTGTTACATTTGCATTCTCTTTGAGGCCATATGGATCTAATGATTGGCTAAAAGAGTGGTGGGAACTTTTTGGAAAGAGGAAGAAAAATACATTTCAACATTTTTATCTTCTTACATCCGTATATCCAACCAGCCAACTCGACATGTCCCTAGTGTGCTGTTTAGGCATCCTGAACAGCTTGTCAGGCTTCCCTAGAGGGGAAAGATGAAGACGCTGGGAATGTGGCGTTAAACTGGAAATTACCTTTCGAAAAATGTTTGTGACCCAAGCCCGAGCGTGCATGTGAATCACGGGTAGGGTGGGGATTTCAAGATAGAAATCGCCCTTTTCTCCAGCGCAGCCTAGCAAACTGTACTTTTAAGGAAGATCCGTAGGAGAAGGTGATGGTGAGGACCGATCTGGCGGGGTGCCGTTATTTTACAACTGGGTTTATAGACCGTGAGGCCCAGGTCTCTGCTTGAGGCGAGACCCCAGTGTTTAGGTACAGCTTAGATGCACCAGATCCGAACACTGGGGCTCGTGCTTGGTGGAAACGGGGGTTCATGACCCTGCAGCCGAGTGAGTCTCAATTCCAGCTCGTAGGGGCCGCTAGAATTGGTGAAGGATTTCTGGTGGGAATGGAGAGGGTGGGGATTGAGAAAGAGTATGAAGCACACTTCTCTTCCTTGAACTTCTCACCTGATGTTGCTTCCATTTTTCAAGTGAGGTGACTGAGTAGGTGGAAGAAGAATTTTAACAACCAGCTCTCACTCTATACGCTCCTGGATCAGGGCATGAACAGCCTGTGCCTCTACGTCCAAGAATCTATAGGGTGTAAAGTGTACAGCACCTTAGAAATAATCTGATCAGAACTTTGTCTTTTTTTTCAGTCTACCTTTACCCTCCATTTTCCTTTTGTCAATTACTGTTACCAATTCTGTCATTTTGTTTTTTTCTTTTTTTCCCCCTGCCTATCTATAGATTTCAGCTCTGCCTAGTATCCATGTATTTTTTTTTAATTTTAACTTTTTAAAAATTATTTATTTCTGAGAGAGAGAGAGAGAGAGAGACAGCGTGAGCAGGGGAGGGTCAGAGAGAGGGAGACACAGAATCTGAAGCAGGCTCCAGGCTCTGAGCTAGCTGTCAGCACAGAGTCCGACGCGGGGCTGGAACCTATGAACCGTGAGATCATGACCTGAGCCGAAGTCGGTTGCCCAACCGACTGAGCCACCCAGGCACCCCTCCATGTATTTGTTTAGTCCTAGGGTGGCTTAGGCTCCAAAAGTTATTGACATCTGATCCAATAGATCTTTTTGATTAGCTTGCTGAGCTCTGTTAATTTTTAAATACTGCTTCTTAAACAGTACTTGATTTTTTAAAAAATATCCTAAGTACTCCATAGACTATAATATTTTGCCCACAGTCATACTACTCTCATTTTTATTGTATTTCATATAAAATCATCACAATTTTATGCTGCTGCCTTCGTAGGAATTTTGTGATTTAGATTACAATGGTTATTTAGCAATTAATAGATAGATAGATAGATAGATAGATAGATATAGAGAGATTATATATAATAGCTGAGAGTTTGGGCTAGTGGCCATAAGCTGTCTGTCAGACTGAGGCCTAAATTGTGTTTAGGAAAAAGGTGCCTCAGGCAAATGTGGGATGGATAGCTTGTGGCCTATTTAGATGTAAGTAGCTTGGAGTGGAAAGTGGGATCGAGTCCGAACTAATAACACTAATGTTAAAAGACTTGTTTAGGGGCCCTGGGTGATTCAGTCAGTCGAGTGACCCTCTCTTGCTTTCGGCTCAGTTCAAGGTCATGGTCTCACCATTCTTGAGTTCCAGCCCCACATCCAGGTCTGACTCCGTGGTGCGGAGTCTCCTTCAGATTCTCCCTCTCCTTCTTGCTGCCCCTCTCCCGCTTGTGCCCTCTTTCCCTCAAGATAAATAAATAAATAAACTTAATTTTAAAAAAAGGACTTGTTTAAATTTAGATGACTTGTTTGTTCTAGAATGTAGTGTTCAAAGACTTGCTTAAATTGTTAACACTTATGCTGCTTCTAAATATGAAATCCTTAAAGGCAATGAGACTTATTTACAAGGCAGTAAAATTTCTAGGACAACATACTTAATAAGATTTTTTTTTTCATTCTAGCTTTCTGGCTCCTTCTCAGGTTACTCTTTTCCTCATTTCTTATGTTGAGCTTCCTCAGAGCTTTGTGTTTTCTATATATATGTACTCTTTAGGTGGTCTTATCCAGTGTCTTGGTTTTAATGCCATATACATGCTGATGTGCCACAAACTTGTGTCTTCAACTTGGATTTCAGACCTACATCCAGCTGCCTATTTCACGTTTTTACTCGAATGTTTAATCAGGCATTCAAAACTGAGTTCCTGGTTTCAGTAATGGTGCCTCTATTCTTCCAGCTGCTGTCTGAAAACTTAGAGCTGTCCTTGACTTTTCTCTCGTTCCTAACAAAAATCCAAACATTGGGAAATCTTACAGGTTCCAGATTCATAATACATACAGAACCCAACCGTTTCTCACACTCTCTAACTGCTACCATCCTGATCTAAGCCACCATATCTTTCCTGGATGATTACAGTAGCCACTCTCTTGGTCTGATTGCATCCATCCTTGTTCTCCTTCAGTTAATAAACACAAGCATGAGTGATCCTGTTGAAACCTACAATGGAGTATATCACTCATCTTTGTAAAGCCCTCCAATAGCTTCCCTTTTCTCAGCAAGAGCTGAAATCCTTACTGTGACCCACACTGTATGAATAAAAGCGGAGTTCTTTATGGCTTCAGTGCTCTACTTGATTTGCTACTTTTCATTCCCAAGCTCAGTTTGTTCATTTCCTTTTCCCTTTCCTAGTCCTGCCCTCCTAGCTTTTCCTTGAACATTTCTGCCTCAGGGCCTTTATATTCACTACTTTTGTCCTGCGTACTTCCCTAGATGTTTGCGTGTGCTAGCTCCCTCACTTCCTTCGAATGAGTCTCAGGGAGACCTCCCTTGACCATCCTAACTCAAATTTCAAGCCCTTTCCCAATACTCTGCCTCCATTCACTGGTGTATATCTCCCCTGACTATATACTGTTATCTAATGTATTTATTTTACTGTTTGTGCGCCCTTCTAAATCAGTCGGTAGAGCATGAGACTCTTATTTTACTGTTTGTTTGGGTTTTGTTCACTGCTGGGTCTCCAGCGCCTAGAATAGTGCCTAGTACACATACATGCTCATTAATGTTTGTTGACTGAGTGAATGAAGAGTAGCTTGCCTTAGGTAGATAAAAGTCTTAGAAGATCACTGCGGTGCTCCTCCACAACTTCTTGTGAGTGTGATGAATGAAAATGGAAGAATGGGAATCAGAACTACATGGGAAATTATTTCAAAAGTAGAAGTAGCTGCTCCCACCCACTCTGTTAAAATAGTTTATCCTTCCTGAAAAGTCTGAAACTTGTTCTGAAAATGTGTTCCTCCCTTCTAGTTAAATGTTTTGCTTGGTAAAATTCATGTATATTTGCATGGAAAGGGGATCTTTGGTGTTCTAAATTCAGGTAAATCCAAAGACAGCAGTGATTGTAGCCACATTTTTTAAGAAACCTCAAAGTTCTCATTCATAGACAATTAAAGCTGGGCTTTTGAGGTGATTTTTCTTGGCAGAGTTTTTTAAAATGCTATTTATTAGGGCTCTATACAAAATTTAAACATACGGTCTCTCTGTCTCCCAATTTATAACTTATTTTTTAATTTTAATTCCAGTGTAGTTAGCATACAGTGAATATAGTTAGAATATAGTTATATTCATTTCAGGTGTACAATATAGTGATTCAGCAATTCAATGTATTGCTCA